ATTAAGGAATAAGTAATAAGTATCTAAAATAAGTTGAAGAGAACAAGTCCTAACATGCCGCGATGGACAATGTCGCGTTGTGATGGACATTGTCGCTCCACAACACTTCTATCTCGCCGTGATGAAATCTATTTTATTCTAATTCAAATCCTTATATTTTCAGATCCCATCGACTCTCTTTTTTCACTATAAATAGAGGTCGTTTTTAAGCGTTTATAATTGCCAACAATCATCAATAATCTTCTATATTCATCTTAATCATCTCCTCTCTCTTGATCCCCACGTTCTTAGCCTTAGCCTAAACACATCATAAACACATCCTTGATACTTTCCCTTATCAAACAAAATACTTCCTCTATGAGATTGAATACTCCTAACCATCCTCAACGTCGCTTTCAACCTCGACGTGAAAGGTTGATAGTTTTGAGGGTTTGGTCCCAAGTCTATATTTCAATTCTTATTTGATTTATTTACTTTGATTTAATTTTCTTGAAGTTTACTAACATGTATAATGTTTTTATCATACAAAGAAGGTTGAGGCATCAAAAAGAGTAATTCAATTATCCCTTGAATAATTATTTAATTTTGGGAGCAGAAATCATGTTTATAATATTTTAATTCCTAGTATCATTCTTAGGATGTTATTTTAATTCCTAGTATCATATTTAGGATGTTTATTATGAAATCTAGTATCATGTTTATGATAATGATTTGATTTCGCTATTAGTGACATGTTAGGATTTGTTATCATGCCTAGGATCTTACTATTAACGATGTTTTTATGATGCGGCTAGCTTTGTTGTTACAAATCACTCTCCTTGCCACTTATTTAGACCTTCTAGTCACCACTTTCCATCCCCATCATGATGCATGATGATTGTTATATTAATGTTGCTTGATTATTCATAATTATTTGTTATTGCTTGATCACGCCCCTTTTTGCAGAATTAAAAGGAATTTGTACTTGAAATCACGTCTAATTATAAGATAATTAATAATTGAATTTAGGTTCAATATGATTTTTCAAGTGATCACCAATATAATAGTTGATTTGATTGTGCATTCATAATCAGCCAATATGGATTAAACATTTTTATTACTAATTTCATATATATATATATATATATATATATATATGTTGATCGAAAAACGCACACGAATATCATAAGAATTAAGTAGAGGCCTATTTAGGATGGGTTCAACATCTTTTAGGTTTTGTACCATCATCTCCGAACATTCAGTCATGGTTCTGGACCGCTATAGAGTTAGCGATCCCCTTGATCGTGAATGGGGGTATAACCTTCAGACCGTGAATGGTTTACAAGTTCCTAAAACTTGTTGGCTACTCTTTTTCTCTAGCTTCTTTTCTTTAGAACACCGCCATGCCTAAAACCATGAACCAGAATACTCGAGTTGAAAAATTCCATACAATTATATTTTTTTTCTCCATTCACCCATGAATCCAGTATTAACTAATTTTCTTATTCTCTGGTCAATCATTATGTTTCTAGTGTATGTCAATTTTATTTTAGTTTGTATTCTATTTTGTACTTGTAATATTATTGATGACAACTAATAATATAAATGTTTTTTTATCTAATACTCCCTCTATACCATAATACTTGACACAGTTCCCATTTTCTTCCGTCCCATAATATTTGATACGTTGCTAAATATGAAATGAGACTACTACTAAAAACAATATTTTCTCAGATTCTCTCTCCTCACATACCCTATTCCCACCACACTTGTTGTTTTCTTGCAATATAAAATTACAAAAGATAATCTTTTATATTATAAACAAATGGTTTAAATAGATCCGTTTGTAGTTTTTTAAAATTACGTGTCCACCCCAACTTTCCAAGTATTATGGGACGGAAGAAGTACTTAAATAATAGATAAACGAAATTAATAATGTATTTCCTTTTTAAATGTACAAGCCCACGGGCCAACCCTTAGATCGGCCTTTAGACTAGCCCATGGGCAGACCTAGCCCTCAAGACCCATGAACCTGGCCTGTGCCTGAGCCTTGCTTTTCAAAATTGAGCCTGGCCTAACATAGCCATTAGTGGTGGTCTAGTTCCATGCAACCCTAAAGTTCACGGCCCAGCCCATCGATTGGTTAACATATTGACAATCGTTAATAGTTGAGGTCGAGCCCAACTACGTAAATATGAAGTCGTTACCAAAATGAACATTTAGTATAACAAAAATGAATATTTTCTAAATTAACATACCCTACAAAAAATTTGTATTTCTCAATAATCAGATGTTCATTTTCATGCAGCATGATGTTTATTCTTATAAAATAAATGTTCATTTTCATGTTGTATGATATTCATTCTTATAAAATAAATGTTCATTTTCTTTTCTAATTAATACAAAATTTTGTGTTTGTTTAGTTGTATAAAATGTTCGTTTTTATAGTAAAGGATGTTCAATTAACATTAGCATTAATAATGTTAAACATTAGAATTTTGTTCATTATTAAAAAACATATTGTTGATTTATTTTATTAGTATTAAATCATACGTAGTATATTTTAATGAATTGCAAGATATTCCCTCCATTCTTTTATTAAAATCCCATTTCTCTTTATTATGTGAGTAATAAATTTTAGAAATGAGACTCTTATAAAAGGACGGAGGGAGTACCATTTCAGAGAATTGAACAAATCAAGGTATGTATTTCATTTGATGCTTAAAGAAAATGTAGATGGTTAAGCAATAGTATTATGTATTCATTTTTATGTACAACTGAATTGTTCTATTATATAGTATTTAATGTACAATTTTTTTTTGTTTTTTTTTGTTTGTTTTTTTTTTCCAATTTCATAATCCTTTTATTTTACTTTTATATTATAAATATTCATTTTCATATACTGCAATTTTCAGAAATAAATATTCATTTTCATCCTGTTCATTTGTTTTGCGCGACTCGACTGGGAGCTAGTTAGGCGCGACTCTAACTAAAATTTTGCGACATATCGGTCAACAGAGACTATTTCTTTGCATTTTTTTTGGGTCAAACAAAAAATTTAATTTGTTTTAATTGTGTTAGTTGCATTATGATGATGATCATTTGATCTTTAATTTTTCATCAATTTGCATGTTGTTGGACTTACATGGTTCATGTCCAAAAATTGGATAAAGATAAAAATAAAAGCTAGGTGTAATACATTTATAACTCCAACGTGCTGCTTATTCCTAAAATAAAAATTAAAAAGAATAGAAACTCCAACGTGCTGCTTGGGTTGATCCCTTTTGGAAAGGAAACATGACAGAAATGTACAAATTGAGGCCGTGTAGTAGATTTCATCGAGTTGTGTGGCCACCATTTTTTCAAACTTTGGCCAGTTTAGGATAACAACGTATCTACATGCATGCATGTGCGTCATTAAGCATCAACCTCTAAACAGTCAAAGATTTTAGTACATGTTTACTAATACTCAGTACGATACAAAGTGTGGATAGAGAACTTAAATCTGTGATCGGTAATGATCTCTTCTCTGGTTTAAAATCTAAACAGTTAATGCGAATTAGCTATTTTTGACTTTTTTCTTTTTTTTAGAAAAACTACTCCAATGATAAAGCAAGTTATGTCCGATAAAGATATGAAAGACAATTTGAGTGTTCTGATAGTAATTTAAATCGCACCTTATAAGATATGAGGGGATATTTATATTTATACAATAATAAAAGCAAGAGTGCAATATGGGTACGGGGTTCAAGTCGACACCAATCAACAGTAAATATAACTCATAAATCCAAATAAATCTGGCCTAATGTCCACATGTAATAATATTGGTGGCTAGTACACATCCCATGCAGTCTCGCTCTATGTCCTGCGCTGATCGGTGTTAAGTTTTCAAAAGTTAGTTCGATCAATATTATGTAAGTAGGATTGTTGAAATGTAATGCATAGATATTTTCTCATCATCATATCGTATGAATAGTGCCTAAATTTTAAATGGAATTTAAGTATTTTAAAGAACCGAAAACATGATCAAAGTCATTATAATTTACTATCACCGTTTCGTATTAGTTGTAATTTTGGAATATTTTATATCTCACAAATAATACCCCAAAGTTGCAATTAATAAAAAAAGGAGAAAAATTAAATTATTAGACTTGAAAAAAGAAAATAAGGTGAGGAGATTGAAACTTATAAAAAAACTAGGGGTGCTCCACGCTCGCGTTGCGCGCGAAGCAATTTGATAGAATCTTTATGAAAAATAGGATGATTTAGTTATGTTTGAGGTTGGTGTACACCTTGTAATAGTTTGGGTCACACACAAGAGTGTGTCCCAAACTCCCAATGTAGTGAAATGTACTGAATTTATTTGCTTAGTTGTTTAACTTAGATTTAAATTAGAAGTGTATATGTAGCTAATAGGTTTAATTATTGTTTATTGCAAAATACTTTTAGAGATGTTTTAAAGTTTAGATTTTGTCATATACGAAGTATCATTTTAGAAATATATTTTGAATGTGATTATGTGAATATTTTCGTTCATTCCAAATTAAGTGGCAATTCTTAATAGTTTGTCCATTTGGCCAGTAATGAAGTCACGTTCCAAGCTTTCAATATTTTTGACAATATGATAAGAAACATCAAAACAATTAAAAAAATGCCTTGTTTATTACGAAGTAGATTGTAAAATATGAATGGAAATCCAAGTAATAGTAGTATTTTAAAAGTGTTGTGTTTGAGAGGAAACTGATGTGCTATTTAAATTAAGCTATTTCCAAAGAAAATTAAAGATAAAAAATAAAAAAATGAATTGCCTCTCTCCCATCTCTGTCTCTCATTTGTTGCGTCAAAAAAAATCTCTCATTCTCCTTCTTGGTCTGATGTTCAGAGAGTGAGGTTTTCCCTCAATAGTTGCATGATAAGAGAGCAGTCTTTTTAAATTTCTTCACCCATAGTATGTGGCTTCTTCAAATGCCTATTAATATATATAAATTTAGTGAATTATTAGATACTCTACCACATGGAAATTGTCAAATTGAAGGCATCAGTATATAACCAATGTATAGCAATTAGCAACACCTGGGAATAAAATTGATTACATAAACAGGCATACAAAAGCTAAGCTAAATTACGTGAAATACATTCAAGGTTCGCAAGACCTAATCTGATGGAATAAGTTGGTGGCAAATCTGTATGAGCAATTTCCTAGAAGACGAATAAAATAAATAAAATAAGATATTACGTCAAATAATAAGCTTAATACCCATACTTGCTACTTAAAATATAAAGATATATGCCTAAATATTTCAAAAAAAAAAAAAATTATATGCCTAAACCAAAACCACAATGGTGAAGAAATATCTTCAGAATTGCATGCAGAGAACTCATGTACGTAGAGCAAGTAATACGGTTGTCCATCTTGTTGCTCGATGGGATACCCGTGATAGTGATGAACATGTACGATTTGGCAACTTCCCCCAAAGCATTTTAACTCTTGCCCTGCTAACGTCTTCCCTAAAAAAAAACAAAAAAAAAAAATAAAATAAAATAAAATTGCAGAGTATAAATGCATCATCAAATATAAACCACACATCATATATCCACAAACCCCTTTTTTCTATACCACCATAGAGATCAATTAAATATGTGCAAGACAGATTTGTCAAGCCAACGCCACATAAATTTATGCATCTCATATTGATTATCTTTACTTGTCATAGTTTCCAAGATAATATGCAAAGATATCAATAATATGCAAAGAAGTTGTTGCTGGAAAAGAACCAAATAAACATCTAAACAGATTTACTTGTGCTCCTGCTATCCTTGCCTCAACAATTTCTATCATATTTGACTATGGTAACTCCACTAACACTTTTGCGATTTTGTGTAAATATACATACTCGTATCATTTAAGTTGTTGAATTTTGAACATATAAATTAAATTAAGTCCCAATTCAGCTCAATTACTAGATTTTGACCCAATTTTGTAAGATCCCAAAACCCTATACCAAAGTTTCACAAACCAAATCAAATTGTAACAAATCAAATGACAAATTAAGAACAACATCAAAAATTAAGAAAAGAGAAAGAAGAATTACAAATTCTCAGACGACACGAATTATATATATGCTTGTTTACACAAAATAAATTATATAACTTGTCGAGTCTCAAGGGGATTGTTATGTACATCTCTTATAATTCTTGAACGAGACACATTGAAATATAAATGCATGCGATGGCGTGATATTAACTATCTTAATCCGTTTAAATTTAGGTGATACTTTTGTGACTTTCTTTACCATACATATTTGGTCACTCATAAAAATCTCAAAAACTAATTTTCAAAATAAGTCATATCTTACTAATAAGTCCATAACGGAAAGATCATCCTAATGATCGATCTCACAACTTCCTTTATATACACATATAATTAACTTCATGAGATGCAGAGATGGTAGGATACTTTTCCATGAATATGCATGCACTTTTACAAACTATATTGGTACATGCATATGCATGTTCAAGTATCTTGATAACATCAACTTTAACCAACACGTGCATGTAAAATTGGCAATGGAAAACCAAAAAAAATCCCACACTACTTGAGTTCAAAGTAAGATATAATCCAACATATTAGTTGACAAAATATAGGAGTAGCTTTTACTTGGGTTATAGATTGATTAAGTTTCTTATTTCCTTTAAACGTGGTACACATAATACTCACACTTGCACTTAGTAATTTATCCTCAAATATAAGTCTATACATTTCTTCTTGAACGAAAATGGATAAATTAAACGATGAATTTTGTCTCTGTTGAGCAAGCTCTACGAAGACACCAACGCCGGGCCTTAGCTTAGCAATACAAGTCCTAACACAAACAATGTATATCAAATGGCACGTAACAACCACATTGAACCTGACACGGATATCAATTTGTAAGAATAAATGGAGGAGAGACAAGATATATATAAAGAAGCTCGATTTGGCCTCTAAACAGTTTCAAGTTAGAGCTACATACATAAACTCAGCCACTTAGAGATCATCCTCATCTTATTAACTTGTGCTTAAAACATAGTCTAAAGCTCTAAACGTTTTTATTATCAGTTTTAAAATCTTTCATGAAATCTACCATCAAAACCATTATAAAAAAGACAGCAGTATTGCAAATTTGAAATTATAAACACCATTGCTACCTATATATAATTGAAGAAATCAAGACAATGAACCAGCAACGAAGTTGAGAGCTAAATGCATAACCAAGCACAAAATCAGTAAACAATGTATCAAATCTAATTAACATTGCACAATCTCCCAGCAACAAAGGTATACATCAAGAGAAATACTTACATGTTTACATGGAAAATCAAGCTTCTTGAGCTTAAGAGTGCGAACGACAAGCAACTTTTGAAGGTCCCCAAACTCAGACTCAAGCTTCCCCACATGAGCCTCTACTCCTTTCCCTTTCCCATTCAAAAACTCCGGTACTTTGACCTTCCTTGTCATATCAAACAACACATCAAGCCCTCAAATAAAAAGTTAAAACCAAACTAATAAAGGAATATATCTAATGGGTTCGGCACAAAATCTAATTGCGTTTCCAGAAAGAATGAAGCAAGTCCACAAATTATAATTTGAAAGAGAAAATTTAATCTTACAACAAAGACAAAGGAGAATAATTACTCATTCTTCTCTGATCTTGGCAAATTAAATACAATAACCAAGTCTAATTAGAAATTTGTGCCCTTTCAGACTTCTAACACCAAAAATACTTGTCAATTTTTCGGAAAGAACAAACAACTTCAAAAGGTTGTAAATTCATGACAAATTTTGACAATATCAATATCAGTCAAGAACAATTGTATCTTAAGGCAACTATTATCTAATGATTCTCATCATTGAGCATCAAAAACTATTCTCATCATTGAGCATCAGACCCTATGCCACAATAAAGACACGGTTTGTGCCATGAACATTAATTGAAGTAGATTTATATTGTTCCTAAAATCAATGAGATTTGTAACTTTAATCTGAAACCTATTTTATATACCAAATTGAATCAAACCATCCCAAAATTATGAACTACTTGAATTGAATCAGAAAACAAAACCATTTTTAAAACAAACTGAATTGAATTGACAAAACCCCTTAAAATCTAAACAATCTGAAATAAATCAGAAACCCCCAATTTTTTATTTTTTTCAAAAATAAAATCCCTTTTGGGTTTTATGAGATAATGATCAATTATACAAATGCAAGAATAATTGAACTAACAAATACTATCATATAAAATCATACTACCAGAATAATAAATTTAAGAGAAAAGAAAAAAAAAATTATGAGTTATATCAGATCATTTCACATAGATACCCAGATGAATGACAATGCTCAACTAAAGTAGAAATTCAACACCGATGAACATTATGAACAAAATAAGAAGAAAACTCAAAAATTAAAATTTGATGACAAAAAAGAATGCCTGAATTAAGAAGTTGCCATTTAGAAGTTTTGTTTATCAAAATTAAAGCCTAATTTTTCAAAAATGAGCAATTTTTCCACCTTCCTATTCAACCACAGCAAATTGAAAGGGAGAGAAAATACATTACAAGTTTATGAGTTTCATTTATATTTTAAGTGGTTGCAGTCCTGAGATGGCGGCAGTCTGATGCCGGAAACTTCGCCACCACCATTACCTTTGCCGCGATCATCGCATTTTCTCTCCTCTTTTTCTTGTTCGACAAAAAAGAAAGACTGAATCAAAAACACGCACCAATATAATATCATAGTGTTGGACTAACAACAAAGCTTATAATTAAATTGTTATGGAAGAACTTGAAAATAATTTAACAAACCCAGAAATCAAAATTTTAAAAATGAATACAAACCAGTAGAATAGTGAGGAACTTGAAAAGCATGCAACAACAAGATATCCAGGTTCAGCAAGGTCGGCAAAGCCAGAGCCGCCATTCATGCGACAACCGCTAGAAACGCCTTCACATTCGGCGGCTTCTTTCTCAACCATTCCATAATAGTATGGACCTTCTATCTCTGAGGCCTCATCTTCTCTTAATTTCTTCAAAATTTGGGATTTTCCCCCTGAAATTAGGGTTTTTTGAATTCTAGAACATTATAATTGAAAGAAAAAAACTTTGAGTTAGAGGATGACAAAGCTAAAAATTGAAAATTGATTATTTTACATGGCTACAAATTTACAATTAAGCTCAAAAATCCCAAACCCCCAAAACCCGTAGAAAATAATAAATTAAAAAAAATGAACTTTGGGTATTTCTCTAATTAACCCAAATTATACTCAAACATTAGTCCTAAAAAATCACCAAAAATCTACATATATACTCGATAAAAATCCAGAAAAATTGAAAGAGGAGTGAGGAAATGGTACCTCAGCAGCGAGATACTCACCTTCAAATTGACAGGTAACAAAAAACATAAATCTTTGACCAATCATTTCACCTTCAAACTGAGATAGAGAAAGCGTGCAAGTTTCCGACACCGAAAACCTACGAATTGCCATGATCAGTGGTCACTGCTAAATTGGATAGCCATCACTTGAAAAAATTCAACTGCATTTGATGGAGGTGAGAAAGCTCAGAAGTTGCTCATTGTTGATGGTTTTAGAGAAAGTTAAGATGGAAGAAGAGAGAGAAAGGGGGCGTATGGAAGAGACACTACAGAGATAGAGGAAAGTAAAAGTAAAATATTGCAAAAGAAACAAAAGCCAATGGTCAAGATTCCTAACTGCTAAGTAAAAAGTAAAATATTGTAGAAGAAAGTAACAATGCATGCTTACTGCTAAGTGATACAATCGAGGTGTAAGAACTTTGCCACACCCTTGCCATGTCAGCAAGCTCACACATGCAATTGGCACATGTTGCTACTATTCATAAGAGAACAAGGTGAAACATTTTAAGGGTTGTAGAAAAATAAGGAAACGTCATATTCTTGCCAAATTCGAATCTAGAATGAAAGGTACGGGTTTTACTTGAATTACTTGAGTCGTAAAATCAAAATTGACATCTTGGAATTTATGGCAAATTGTTGCTCCACTTTCCCTCTTTATATCATTGCCCACATGAATAATGTTTATGAATGTCAATTTGAATAGTTGAAGTGATGTTTCAACGGATAAGATATGGATTAAGTAATGCCCATAATCTTTCATTCTAAAATGGTTGCACTACTTTTTATTTCTAATAGTTTTTAAATACTTGCTTTATTTTTTTAGTTGAAAAACTTCTATATTATATTATTTAATTTATTTTTCTCAACTATTAAATTCAATATAGATTATATTTTATTAATTTTATATTCTCTTTCCTTTAATTCTCTCGACTACTTTAGTTTTGTTTACAATTTTTTAGTCTTTCACCTACCCTACTACCTTCATATTTTATTACTTTCTCTGATTTCTCCTAAAATTTTGTGCATAAATAAATGGAGCAAGTATTTAAAAATAAAGGGAGTAGATATGCTGTAATAATCGTGTCAAATTGGGGAATTCTTAGCACATACCCAGTATGTGTGAGTGTAGACATCTACTTTTGGCCTCTTATCCCGACAGTAAGTGCAATGACGATAAATAAAACCATCTTCGTGTTGGATCAAAGTGAAGAATACTTATGGAGAACTGGTTAAGCCACAAAACACAAAAGACTAGCCCGAGTTAAAGACAAAAGCCAAAACAAAGGTCCAATTAATTAAACCCGGTCATAATTAGGCTTAAGCCCATGCTTAAAACCCAATAATGACGGATTTAGGAGCGCCTATGTTAAATTTTAATGCTGCAGCAGAAAAAGTCGCGCGCATCTCAAACAGTCGCACAAGGCTGTCGCGCGTAACTAATTCAGTTGCGCGCAACACCCAGCATAACCTCTAGGGTTGCGTTGCGGAAGATTCAGAATTATACAAAAAATATAAAATCGAATCTTACCCATAAAGCCGCGCGCAAGATAATTAGTTGCGAATCACTTGTGCTAGGGTGCCGCGCACAACTCATCCTGATGTGCGCGACACCTGCTGCGGCAGAATGCTTGTAACCCTAAACCTAATCATTCCTTATAAATAAGAGCTTAAACACACAAAAAAATAACCTAAAACTCTGGCGAAATACTTGTGAACTTGTGCAACCTAACCCCTCTTGTCCTAAACACTCACCCCTTTGATATTTTGTTACTACGGTGGAGGTTCCCCACCAAGAAGGAGTCCATAAGTGTTCTAAACGGAGATCTAGCAAAGAGAAGTGGTAAATTCCCGAGCACTTAATTAAATCACGTTTATTTTCTTGTTTAAAAGAACCTTAATTAAGTAATTAGTGTTGTTTGATCACCTTTAAAATAATTAATTAATCAATTACACATAGTATCCTGTGTTAAATAAAGATTAGAATTGAATTAAATAATTGTTGGTTGATCAGTTAAGCCAAGGCGAATATTGTTTATTTTCTTTTCCTTTTCACGAATTTGATTAAATAAAGAATAACGACATTACGATGTAATTCCTACGTGAATTGGTATGTGTAAATAAAATCAACTAACATAGTTTTAGGTATCGCGTTGCATATATTGTTTGGTGATGAAATTGTAAAAAAGGAAGAGCTAGTAGAGGCCGCACTAGGGCTAGGATAACGATTCCCCTCTAAAGGGAACGTTATTTTAGTACCCTCACTACCAAACTCATTTTTGGTTTATAGACCAATTTGGGCATGGGTAAACTTATGATTTGTGCTAATTATTCCATGAACTCCACATGGAAGAAAGGCATGAACGAGGTTTATGAGTTTTCCTAAAACTCATTGGCGGCTTCCTACTTGTTTCTTACAAAAAAGCGTAATGATAGAATCAATTCTAATTCAAGGTCCCCCAAACAGTCAGGAATTCAAATCCTACTGCACCCTAACAAGTGTAAAGTCCTAGGCTTTTAAAGGGCCATGGGCATTTAAGGATAGGACCCCTTAAGATGGGAACACCCTCCTTACAGTGGCGACTCCACGGGGGACTTAGAGGTTACATGATTAGTTCGTAGTTATGATCCAAGGTTTCCAACACTAGGTTGCTTATGGGTTTTAACGGGAATTAACTTGGATAATCTCTAGTTAGAGAGCGAGACTTTAACGCATAATATCTTCCTTTTGCACAAAAGTAAAAACCAAACAAGCAACATTGCATCATGCATAAGCATAGCACACTCAAACCATTGGGGATTGGCTCATTGACTAGGGGTCTCCAATACTAGGCTTCTATCCCGAAATCAATAACAATCATCCTACCCATATCGCCAACAAAATGTCAGGAGGGCGATGCCATAAGTCAACACGTTGAGTGATTGATTTGTGCGTCGTTTCCTAAGATATGGTACCTTTGGACACCCAAGCCTTTTTTGACCTTAGAATGACATTGCGTGAATCTTGACTTATGGCATGATTATGTGATTATGTGACTGTATGCAACGTGTTAGGATAGTCTTTTTTTTTTCTTTTTAGTTTGGTCTAGGTTCCCAATTATGAAGTTGTCTTTTCGTGATTTAGAGTCATATTCAAAGGATAGCATAAAAAAATCAAATACAAAAAAACGATGACAAAAAAAAAAAAACGCTTGAAATAAAAAAAATCCTACCAGCAGGTGGCACGCGCAACTCGATCCCTCCCAAAGCAAGAGCTTCCGTTGCGCGCGATAGCCGCGCGTAACTAAATCACTTGCACGCGCCCACTGAACAAGTTAACTTTGATTTCTCAAAAAACAAATTGACTCGTTCGAACGATATCTTAATCGAAGAATTGTTAAGGGTGATGTTATCCCTTTGAATATATTTTGCATCTTTTTTTCCCTTTTTAAACAAGCGTACCGATTTACTTATCCTTTCGTACTCCTTTTAGGGTCGGTTTCCAAGCTTGGGAAAGAAGACTTCCATGCACTTGCATTCTACGTTTACCACCCAAAGATCAACCCCTTTTAAACCACTTTTCTTCGACAATTAATCCTAGTCCAACGACAATGTCAACCATCGAAGAACTTTAACAAGAGATTCTTCGTTTGAGAGAGGAAAAGGCTCAAGAGGCCGAGGAGAGAAGAATTAATAAAATGGAAAAGGCTGGAAAGAAAAATGCTGAAACCTTAGCCTTTCAAGAAAAGATGGAACAATTATTCATCAAAGAAAAGTCGTTGGAGAAGCTAGTTCTTCGTTCTACAATGGAGAACAAGTACTTCGACGCAGAAAAGTTTGCTCCTCCCGCAAGACTTGCTTTACCGGAAAAGTTTGTAGCTACGGACTTTCCAATATTTAAGGTGACCAATAATCCACAAAATCATTTAATATGTTTTACTGGCACCATGACATTAAAGGGAGTTGATCCTAAGCTTTATGATTTAACTTTCCTTTATCTCTAAACCCAACCGCGAGAGAGTGGTACTATGGGCTAGATCCAAAATTCAAAGCAACGTGGGAAGATGTAGTTTCGGCTTTCATTACCCAATATGAGAGTAACGTAGAGTTTAAGTCAACTTTACGTGAACTCGAGATGCTTAAGCAAGGCGACGATGAAGGTTTCCTTGCTTTCTATGGTAGATGGCGAGAAAAGGCGACCCACCTTGCCCAAAGGCCTCCTGAACTCGAGTTAGTACAAAAGTTCATTGATAACTGTCATGAAAAGTACAATAAACAACTACGTTACCTTGGTTTAGACACTTTTCAAAAGGTCTATTTTGTGGCTACTAGGATTGAAGATGATCTTGCTACAGAAAAAGCAAACAAACCTCATCATCATCATCAACCTAAGAATAACTACAAGAAGGGGAATGATAATGCATCATCCTTTATTGACGTATTTGCGACTACCACGCAATACGATAACACAAGTCGATATGATGATCCTAGAAAGAGATGGACAAAAGAAAGAAAATTTACCCCATTTCCTGTAAGCTATAAAGAATTGTTAGAAAAATTAAATGAAAAAGGCTTACTTGTGCCAACAGGGCCGACACCACCCACTCCACCGAAAAGAAGATTTCCTCAATGGGATGGTAATGCTTATTGTGCTTATCATAGAGGCGTTGGACATGATACTGAACGTTGCTATGTCTTAAAGCACAAAATACAAGATTTAGACGATGGGAGAATTCCCACGCCTAAACCTAACAATAATGCATCCCCTTAGGGGTGTTTCACATCGATGAGGACCATATGGAAAGTGATATGTTAAATCCTTTGGACTATATCACCCCTATATGAGAACCTCTATCCACAATACTCATAGGGGCAACTAATGAAGTATGTGGACTATGGGACGACGACTTTTAAGACTTATATGTCTCCAAGTATGCCGTCGTCCCACTTCCATCTTGTTTACAAAATGAAACAAATGGAGCGCTTGATTGGGATCATTTCTTAGGGAAGTCGCAAGATTTATCGAATCTCTCCTTGGATGAACAATGGCATCAAGCACAACTCATGGAACTGCTTGAAATGGAGGCACATCCAAAGCCTCTAGAAGAAAGTTGGTTTGTGAGTTCTACAACTAACCCAAACGAAATAGATCATTTAACTCGTTCTGGGCGAGTCTACTAAGCATCACCATCAAATGGATCTTCGACCACACAAAATCAAACTCAAGGTCAAGTACAAAATCCAATACCACCTCTACTTGAAATGGAAGATCCATTGGTCAAACAACTTCGCCAATCCAAGGCGAATGTTAGCATTTGGGAACTCCTAAGTACTTCTAAAGAACATAGGAATTCTCTCATGAATGCTCTAACGGCTTTGTCTGTAAGCACATACACAACACCCCGGGATCTCGTTAGCTTGCTTACTAGCGAGAAATCC